TTCCTTCAGCTTAGGGCGGCCTTAGTCCATTCAGTCGCCTCTGGTATAGTGAATTAAGGTCAAGAGGTCAAGAGCTGAAAATTTCACCGATTGGACGGGGGAAGAGGCACCTCCCGCATTCACGTTCGCCTTGCGTTAAATTCCAGGAAGGGGAAGGGGATACCGAGTCCCATGTCCGACTTTTTCGCTCAGCCTCTATTTTCCGTATGTGGGAAGTCTGGATGGCCAAACTGGAGCCAAACATCTGTGGGCCCAGGACTCTTATGGTGCTATGGGTGACAGCTTCCAAAATAACTCCTCGCGAACCTCGTCAAACGGGAGTGTGGACTGAGGGCTAAATATGCCCGATCTCCAAAGAGATGCTGTAGTAAAAAAGACGTCAACAATGGTCATTCCAACGCGGACAGGATTTTAAGATACCATGTGAGGCAGAGGCGTCTACGACTAGTAATGTACAATCGGTATAATGATAAAACTCCATAAGGAATTTACGCAAGTAGAACTGGCTGGAGGGAGTATACGGTATACATGCAAATTAAGTCTTCTGTGAAAACTTTCCCAGTTAAGGTAGAATAAAATTGTGGATTATTCACACCGGTCGGGGATCCTTATTTGGGTAAAACGATGTTCAGAAGATCTTTCGCGATAAGGGGATAGCGGCTAGTAGGACAACTCTGTACAACCCCCAAGAAAAGAGTCAGCTTGAGCGTTTTAAGTAAACTTAATGAAAATTGATTTGCCTGATTTAAAATCTTAAAAGCTGCCTATCGCACACAGAGAATCCGTTCTACTGGATGTGTTCTCCTTTCCATCATTTGGCCCCACCCATAAAATCCTGTATTACGGCCAATCCCGTACTACATGCTGAACTGCCTTTTGTTGTCTAATTGAGATCGCATTTTGCGCCCTGGCCCTGCTTTCTCCCAATATACTAAAGATATCGGTAGAAGGACATTACCAGCAAAGACATCAGACACTAGGAAGGCCTTTTTCTGTCTCATTAAGCGTCATCGGCTAGTGATAACCAACCCCAGTGTGGCCGCTGAAATTGCTGCC